GACAATTCATTGCGAACAGAAACTATTTGCACCACGTAGACTGCACCACATTGAATGCACCGCATAGATTGCATTACATAGGTTGCTGCGCGTAATTTGCACCACATAGACTGCGCCGCGTAGATTGCATTACATCGGTTGCACCGCGTTGATTCTCCTTTCTAAAAACAGAATAGACTCTACCCCCCCCGGCGTTCGCCGCCCCCCTTTCGGATATGTAAAGCATGTATGATTCTGACCACATGTCCATCCGAAATATGCCCAGAGGGCCGGTACCGGCCCCCTTGAGGTTCCCTTGTAAAAGACGATATGCGGGGACATCTTTCGCTCTTTAATCAGACTTTTTCGCGAATCCCTTACAAAAGATGGGACGAAGTGCACGCGCGCGCGTCGTCGCGCGCGCATGCCGAAATCCTTCAAAAACCTTCGGTATCGGAAGGATTTCGCAATCGAGTTTCCAAAAAACCTACAAAAACACACGGTTTCGCAACACTGATTTGCTAAACAAGCTTACTCGCGAGCTCTTGCGAAATCGTAAGAAAACCATAGGTTTTTCAAGATTTTCACAACATGCTACTAAACGGGCTTCGCGCGCGCATGTCGAAATCTGTCGAACGCCCTTGCGCGTGTGCCGTCGCGAGAATCCTTTGCAAAAAATGAGACGAAGTGCAGACGCGCGCGTCGTCGCGCGCGTATGCCGAAATCCTTCAAACCCATCGGCTTCGGAAGGATTTTCAACATCGTGCGTCCAAGCACCCTACAAAAACGCAAGGTTTCGCAACACGACGGATTTTCAACAAAAGCGTGCGCGCGCGCTTTTGCGTCGTCGTCGTCGTCGTCGTCGTCGTCGCCGTCCTCCCTCCTCCCGCGTCGTCGTCGTCGCCTACGTCGTCCTCTGTCTTTCCTCGTGTTCGTCGTCGTCGTCGTCCTCTTTGGCGTCGTGGTCGTTTCCGTCGTCGTTGTCGCCGTGGTCGTCCTTCCTCCTCCTCCTCCCTCGTCGTCGTCGTCGTCCGTCGTCGGCGTCTCGTCGTCGTCCCTCCTATTTCGTCGCCGTTGTCGTCGTCGTCGTCGTTGTCGTCGTCTTCCCTCCTCCCTCGTCGTTGTCGTCGTCGGCGTCGCCGTCCTTCCTCCTTCTTCGTCGTTCGCGTCGTCGCCGTCATCCCTCCTCCCTCGTCGTTGTCGTCGTTGTCGTCGTTGTCGCCGTCGTCGTCCTCCCTCCTCCCTCATCGTCGTCTTCATTGGCGACGTCGTCGTCGTCGTCGTCGGCGTCGGCGTCGTCGTCGTCTCCGTCGTCGTCGACGTCGGCGTCGTCGTTGTCGCCGCCGTCGTCGTCGTCGTTGTCGTCGTCGGCGTCGTTGACGTCGTCGTCGTCGGTGTCGTCGTTGTCGTCGTCGGCGTCGTCATCGTCGTCGTCGTTGTCATCGTCGTCGTCGTCGTCGTCGTCGGCTTCGGCGTCGTCGTCGTCGGTGTCGTCGTCGTCGTTGTCGGCGTCGAAGTTGCTGGAGACGTCGTCGGTGTCGTCGCCCAGCTGGGATGTGCCCAGCAGTCAGCGCCACCGCGGCCGCGTCGGTCGCGCCAAACTAGCTGGCCGCTGCGCGCGCGCTTGGGTTGGCGCGGCCGCAGAGATGGGCCAGCTAACTCCAAATACTCCTTGCAATCGTCACCACATGGGTTTTGCAAGCCAAGTTATGGGTGTTCCAGGCTACGAGTTGACACATCCCACTAAGCGTGGGATGTGTCAACTCGTTTGTTAAAATCAATTCTCCTTTCTAAAAAGAGAATAGACTCTACCCCCCCCCGGACTTAACGCTTCCCCTTGGGATAGTCTAATTTCATATATATATATGTATATTCTGCACACTCGTCCATCCTAAATATGAAATCATACCATCCCAGGCAGGCCGGTTTCCCCCCTCTGAGGGTCCCTTGTAAAAAAACATGATGCGGTGACATTTGTTGTTCTAACATAACATTTTTTCACGAATCCCTTGCAAAAATGAGACGAAGTGCACACGCGCGCGTCGTCGCGCGCGCATGCCGAAATCCTTCAAAAACCTTCGGTGCCGGAAGGATTTCGCAATCGAGTTTCCCAAAAAACGTACAAAAACACATGGTTTCGCAACACTGATGTGCTTCAAAAGCTTCCGCGCGAGCTCTTGCGAAATGTTAATAAAACCATAGGTTTTTCAAGACTTTCACAAAATGCTACCAAATGGGCTTCGCGCGCGCGCGCGCATGTCGAAATCTGTCGAACGCCCTTGCGCGTGTGCCGTCGCGAGAATCCTTTGCAAAAAAATGGGACGAAGTGCAGACGCGCGCGTCGTCGTCGTCCGTCGTCGGCGTCTCGTCGTCGTCCCTCCTATTTCGTCGCCGTCGTCGTCGTCGTTGTCGTTGTCGTCTTCCCTCCTCCCTCGTCGTTGTCGTCGTCGGCGTCGCCGTCCTTCCTCATTCTTCGTCGTTCGCGTCGTCGCCGTCCTCCCTCCTCCCTCGTCGTTGTCGTCGTTGTCGCCGTCGTCGTCCTTCCTCCTCCCTCGTCGTCGCCTTCGTTGGCTTCGTCGTCGCCGTCTTCGTCGGCGTCGGCGTCGGAGTCGTTGTCGTCGTCGCGGCGTCGTCGTCTCGCCGCGTCGTCATCCGGTCGTCGTCCGTCGTCGGCGTTGTTTTTTTGGAACGTCGTCGTCGTCGTCGGCGTCGTCGTCGTTGTCGTCGTCGGCGTCGTCATCGTCGTCGTCTTTGTCATCGTCGTCGTCGTCGGCGTCGGCATCGTCGTCGTTTCGCCGGTGTCTTCGTTCGTCGTCTCGATCGGCGTTGGCGGCGTCGTAGAAGTCGTTGAGGAACGGTGCCTCGGTGTCGTCGTAGCTGCGTTGTCGCTGTCGTTCGTCGCTCGATATGTCGTTGGCAAGTGCATTTGGTACCCACGTCTCGGTCTTAAGAGAGTTTGCGAACCAAGTTGCGGGTGGGTGGGTGGGATGTTTGCGCGAGCAGTGGAGTGGTCAAGCGCGGTGCAGGGTAGTCAATTGTACCACATAGATTCTCCTTTCGATAAAGAGAATAGACTCCACCCCCCCCGCGGTATCGGTCCCCCTTTCGGTATGTAATCATATATGATTCTGACCACACGTCCATCCTAAATATGAAATCACAATGTCCCAGGCCAGCCGGTATCCCCCCCCTGAGGTTCCTTGGTCAAAAACACTATGCGGTGACATTTTTTGTTCTAACATAGCACATAGCACTTTTTCACGAAACCCTTGCAAAAATGAGACGAAGTGCACACGCGCGCGTCGTCGCGCGCGCATGCCGAAATCCTTCAAAAACCTTCGGTGCCGGAAGGATTTCGCAATGGAGTTTCCAAAACACATACAAAAACAGGGTTTCGCAACACTGATTTGCTAAAAAAGCTTCCGCGCGAGCTCTTGCGAAATCGTAAGAAAACCATAGGTTTTTCAAGATTTTCACCACATGCTATCAAACGGGCTTCGCGCGCGCATGTCGAAATCTGTCGAACGCCCTTGCGCGTGTGCCGTCGCGAGAATCCTCGGAAAAAAATGGGACGAAGTGCAGACGCGCGCGTCGTCGCGCGCGTATGCCGAAATCCTTCAAAACCCATCGGTTTCGGAAGGATTTCAAAATCGTGTGTCCAAAGAACCTACCAAAACCCAAGGTTTCGTCGTTATCATCATCATCGTCTTCCCTCCTCCCTCGTCGTTATCATCATCAGCGTCGCCGTCCTTCCTCCTTCTTCGTCGTTCGTGTCGTCGCCGTCCTCCCTCCTCCCTCGTCGTTGTCGTCGTTGTCGTCGTTGTCGCCGTCGTCGTCCTCCCTCCTCCCTCGTCGTCGTCTTCGTTGGCGACGTCGTCGTCGTCTTCATCCTCGTCATCGGCGTCGTCGTCGATGTCGGCGTCGTCGTCGTCGCTGCCGTCGTCGTCGTCGGCGTCGGCGTCGTTGACGTCGTCGTCGTCGTCGGTGTCGTTGTTGTCGTCGTCGTCGGTGTTGTCATCGTCGTTGTCGTTGTCATCGTCGTCGTTGTCGTCGTCTGCGTCGGTGTCGTCGTCGTCGTCGTCGGTGTCGTCGTCGTCGGTGTTGTCGTTGTCGGCGTCGTCGAAGTCGTTGGAGACGTCGTTGGTGTCGTTGTTGCGGCGTCGTCGTCGTCGTTGTCGCTGTCGTGGTCGGCGTCGCTGTCGTTGCCAAGTACCATTTGGTACCCACCGTCACGGTCTCAAGAGATTTTGCTAACCAAGTTGCGGGTGGGTGGGTGGGATGTTTGCGCGAGCAGTGGAGTGGACAACTCGTTGCGAACAGAAATTAATTGCACCGCATAGATTGCACTGCATAGATTGCACCGCATAGACTGCATCACATAGATTGCACCGCATACATTGCACCACATAGAATGCACCGCATATACTGCAGGAAATTATTGTTTTGGGTCCACGCTGGCTAATATTCTCTCTAGATTTCTTCTGTCGCTCGCCCGGGAACGGGCGGAGACAGCGGAGGGCGGAAGGGGCCAACCCGAGCGGCCCTGGGTCCGCCAGGACCCCGTGTGGGTGCTCGCGCGAGCAGCGGTGAGTGGGTGGGCAGCGCGGCCCGACGCACTTTTGTGCCCGCGGGTCATAGACTTGCTCAACCGGCCGGTCAAACTATACATGTTCGATGGCGTTGGTATTCGAGAGGTGGGGCGAGATCTGGACGCCTCCGGATCACCGTGAGGCTACAGGAACAACGCACGAGCTCAAGTTTAGAGCGACGAAGTGAAGCGGGTTCGTCTTCACCGACATTGGCGCGTAAGCTGCCCGCGTAAGGTTTCGCGTAAGCGCCCTCCTTTCCGATGTGGTGTGCCGCGCTGGTGGCCCGCGTAAGCCGCGGCGTATGGTCGCTATGTCTTCTCGCGGAAGGTCCGTTTCTTTTCGTCGCTCAAGTGGCCGCAAGACACAATGGCACGAGCCGACATGCAGCACAGAGGGGCGCGATACACCAGCTGCTGCACCGCGCGGTGGCGGATTACGACGTGCGCAAGGACATGCGGGCTGGCGAGGCGGCCTCCCCTCCGCTGTACCCCCCCCCAAAGCGCTCCGCGTGTGCTGCTGCGTCATCCCGCTGCCTCCTCTTGTCCCGTCTCCTGCTGCTCCTCCTCCTCCTCCTCCTCCTCCTCCTCCTCCTCCTCCTTTCGGCTGCGAGCCCGGGGGAGGCAGTGCGAGGGGACGGGCCTCCTCAGAAGGTTCGGAAGGCCTCGGGCCTTTGCGAAGTTTTCTAAGCCTTCCCCGAAGACACATAACACTTCTCAGAAGGCTGAAGGGCTTATGAGTGAGAAGCCCCGCCGCCTTCGAGAAGGCTTGCCCTCTCTCTCTCACTTCCCCTCAAGCGCGCCGCTGATCATTTTCCTTCCTATTCCCCTGCTCGACCTGAACCTTCCCCCCTTCATCCACTTCGCTTCCCTTTTACGCTCCTCCCCCCTCTCCTTCCTGCAGCTGCTTCTCCCTCCTCTCTGCTGTTCTATCCCCTCTCCTCCCCTTCTTCCTCTTTTCCTCCCTCTGTTGCTGCTCCTCCTCCTCCTCCTCCTCCTCATCCATCCCTCCCCTCCCACCTCCTCCTCCTCCTCCTCCTCCTCCTCCTCCTCCTCCTCCTCCCCCTCGTGGGAGCCCTGTTCCGCGCTTTGTCATGCCCAGAGCGCGACAACACCCGCTGAAGACGTATCCCCGGACCTATCGCTTGGGGTCCATTCTGACCCGTTTTCTGAGCCACGTCAGGCCGCGGCGACGAGGCGAGAGGGGTATATGGTTGGCGCTGGAAACATGGCGTGTGATGTGGCGCCGCCGACCCGCTCACCACACGCCATCCCACCACCTTGGGGACAGCGTGCACTGAAGAAGCCCTAGCAGAGGGACGGCGCGCACAGAGGGAGCCATCGCGAGGGGATCGCCTCGCAGGAACAGCGTGCCTCTTCGGAGGTCGTCGTTCAGGCGATCGCAGACATGGATCAAGGGGGCGTGGCCTAGCGGCGGGTCCCGTTTCCATGGGAAATCGCGGATTTCCGCCGCCGAGCGAGGCGGCACCAGCCGCGCTTTGGAGAGGGCACCCCCGATGCATGGATTAGGCGATGTTTGCGCGCCCCCGAGTTGTGGCGCGCGCCGTCTTCCCAGCGCAAGCCGTGAGGTGACCCGGCTGTCCGATGTGTCCGACGTCGTGAGCTCTTCAAGACGCGGGCCACTGGAGTCCTTGACCCCCTCCTGAGCCCAAAGGGGTCTTTGTCTCAGCGTCTTGGCAGCGCTAGGAGAACAATCGAGGGAGGGAAAACCACCCAGACCCGACAATTGGCGTTTACTGAACGGCCCTGGGCGTTTACTAAACAGCCCTGCCCTGTCCGATTCCTTCTCTGGGTGCGTTTCCTAAACGGCTTCTCGTGTCGGTGTGCTTATTACGAGGGTGGATTTGATGCTCTCTAAAAACCAATGGCATAACCGTAAAAACCCTCGGAGGTCCGCGCGGATTTCTCGGCTCGGCGCTGGACCCTTTCACCGGCACCGGCTCTTCGGCACGGGCTGTTTGGATGGCCCCAGGGCCCGAAGCGGGCCTCGAGGGGCCCAGCCTGCAAGCAGCGGCCGTCGTGGTTGTCTGCGGCGACGCCTGGAGGTCTGCCACCCTTCACAAAATCGGAGGAGGAGGGGGAGGTTGCACCCGGAGCTTGCGCTCTGACCAGGATTTCGAGGCGGGTCCAGCCGTGCGGGCGACGAAATCTGTACATATCCACTGCTCGCTGGCCGGGCCCATCCTGAACCCAGGAGCTGTGTATACATCCTCCCGGCTTGGCCAGGAGGGCGTGGCGAGTAGACCGCTGCTGGGTTCAGGATGGGCCTGACCAGGGAGCAGTGGATGTATAGATTTCGTCGCCTCAGCCGTGGCTTCCAAACGGCCGAAAAAGACGGAACAACATCCCAAGCCTTCGATCGGCGGCGGGCGAGGGGGGAAGTCAGAGGGAGAAGGCCTTCTCAGAAGGCGGCGGGACTTCTCAGAAGCCCTCGCGCCTTTGCGAAGTCCTCTGCGTCTTCGGGGAAGGCTCGGAACACTTCTCAGGAGGACGGGGGACTTCCGAGCCTTCTAAGAATGCCCGCCCCTTCTCACTTCCCCCCCTGGGCTCGCGGCCTACTCAAGAGGGACAAAAACATACAGACACAAGTAGTATGATGGGCATGTTTTCCACCACCAACATAAGTTGGAGGGGGGAAGGAGGACGAAGAAGAGAAGGAGAAGGAGAAGGAGGAGGAGGAGGAGGAGGAGGAGGAGGAGGAGGAGGACCCCCTCCCCCTCCAACTTATGGTGGTGGTGGTGGTGGTGGAAAACAGGCCCATCATAGTAGCCGATTCCCAGGAAAGTGTGGGAGAGCATGGGAAGTGTGGGCGGGGGGAAGGCGAACATCGAGAAACTGGGACACGTGGGGAGTCCTGGGACTTGTGCCTATTTAGTTGCGTGTCCCCGGGCTCGCCGCCGAGGGAAGCAGGGCTGGACCTAAACGCTGTGTTGCTGGACTTCGGCTGTGTTCTGTTTTTCGTCGCTGACAGAAGGTACAGGAAGGAAAACAGGCAGAGCAAAACGAAACACAAAACGAATAACAAAACGAAGGTCCAGCCCTGGAGGGAAGGGCCGCTGCGCACCCGCCAGATCGACGCCCTGGGCAAGGCCAAGGCCGTGCTGGCGGGGGCGGACTACTCGCTGCTGCAGCTCGGCAGCTCGGCGCGGCCGCTCCTGGGGCGGCCCCGCCTCTGAGCGCGGCCGCGCGCTGGCGCTGCTCGCCCGCATCTCCCCCCCCCTCCACTGGTACCGGGCGCACACAGCACCAGTATGAATCGGGCATGGAAGTTGCATGTTGGATTTTGTCGGGCAACTTCCCACGGGCATTCCGCACCTTATGCGTCGTTCTACATGTTAGGGTTCTTTGACGCGATTAGACCCGCCATCGTTTTCCATGCGGGCTTCAAAACATGTTGGGCGCGTTGTTCCTTACCGGCGGTACGGGGGCATCAAAAGTGGAAACCCATTCGTCCTCGACCCCGCGTTCGCCCCCCATACACCCCTCCCCTAATTTCAAAGTTGGCCTGGGAATCCCGAAGGCCCTGAGAGTTTCATTTTTGTTTGTCCTCTCACGCCTGTGCTGCCGAATGCTTGAGGTCAACTTTGAAATGGGGGGGGCGCGGTGTCAAGGGTTTCATTTTTTGACCATCTACGGTCCCCCTCCCCTGCTCAGTGATGGCATCCGAACCCTGCCCCCCCACCCCCCAGGATCTTGTTGGGTTTGGGCGATTCGGGGCTTCCCATGGGGTGGCCAAGCGCGCGTGGAGCTGTGGCAGTGTCGCGCCTGCGTGCCCCGAGTCGGCGTGCGCGCACGGGTCTTCTTCGCGCTGTCTCCGGCGCGGCGACGATCCAGCCGACAGAGGGAGCTGCGCAGGCCGCGCGGCTCCCTTTCTCGACGACGAGCCATGGGGGGGGAAGTGAACGGGGGCGGGCCTTCTCAGAATCAGGCGATCGCAGACACGGATCAAGGGGCGTGGATGAGCGGCGGGGTCCCGTTTCCATTTGAAATCGCGGATTTCCGCCGCCGAACGGGGCGGGACCGGCCGCACTATGGGGAGGGCACCTCCCCCGATCCATGGATTTGGCGACCGCGCGCCAAATCCATGGATCGCTAATCCATATTTGCGCGCCCCCGACAGCCGTTTGAGAAGTTTTCTGAGCCTTCCCCGAAGGCGTAGAAAACTTGCCAGAAGGCGCGAGGGCTTCTGAGAAACTCCGCCGCCTTCTGAGAGGGCCTTCTCCTTGTTACTTCACCCCCCCTCACTCGCCGCCTCCCTGATGGCACATACACGACGCGGTCCTCTTTGGAGTTCCAGGTCCGTTGTGACACGCGTCGATGGCTAGAGAAAACACACGCGCAATGGAAACGGATGGGTGGGAGGGGCAGGATGTCAGATATGGCGCGAGCGCGCCAAGCTTGACCCCTCCCTCCCCCTCTCCCTCCTCGTCGTCCTCTGTCCTTCTGGCCCTTCTCTGACCTCCCCGCCCTTCCCTTCCTCACGTTTTCTTACCAACCTCTTTCTTTCTCGCCCAGTGGAGAAGTATTCCTTGCCCCACCACTAAGAGAGGGCAACGGACCAATTCGCAAATCGCTATGTTGTTGTTGACGCCCTCGCGGCTTACGATCCCCGGCGTGGATGGTTCAAGTAGTTTCACACATGACGGATGAGTTTGTTAAATTCGAGTTGTAGTAGGATTCATAGTTTGCGTGCTCACTTGGACATGAATGCACAGATCAGTTACACGTGTTGGCGTTGCTTATGTATTGATTTGCGTCCTGGTTTGGGACTGGTTTTCAACACGTGGTGCCGAAGCGCTATATTTCCAACATCGAACCATGACCGCAGGGCGCTCCGTGCTCGAGATCCTGCTCTCGCCTGAGACTTCCGCGCGTGACCATAAGCCAGCCACTTGCGGCAAACCCCGCCACCATGCCAGCGCAGCAGCGCAGCAGGGAAGAGGAGAGGTCTAATACCCTTTCCAGTTCAGTGCGCTGTCTGAGCTGGAAGGGGTCGGAGCATCCATAGTTGTCCTTGGCCTCATTAGCCGCCTTCTTCATCCCTTCTTCTTTCATCCCTCCTCTCGTCCCTCCTCTCTCCCCTGCCTCCCTCTCATTGGCAGTTGGATCTCCAGATTCGTCCCACCTGGCTCCAGAGATCGCTCTTGGGTCTCCTGGATCCCTCACTTCAAGTTTTAGCCTGTCTCGCCTGCAAGGAAGGAGCAGCGCAGTCTTGGGGCCCTCTTGGGCCGTCCCTGGGATCTCTTGGGGGCTAGTTGGGCAGTGATGGTAGGTCTGGTGAGGGCCTCGCGGACCGCCCAGGCCTTCAGAAGCTTGACAAGGAGAGAACACGAACATGTTCAACAACCTTCGTGCTAGCGAAAGCGAACAGCCAGCGGGCCAATGCACTGTTTGGGGGTGGGTTGGGGCTTCAGTTTGGAGGCAGCGGAGCTGCTAGCGTCTCGAGCCGCCTGCCGAGCTGAAGTGGTCATAAGCAGTTGGCCCCAGCTTACATGCATGAGCATCGTCGTCACTTTGGCGTGGGCAGTAAAGCGTGAATCATGGTTGTTCCTTCTGGAGGCTTTCCTGAAGGTCTTCTTGAGGCGTCTTGGGGGCGTCTTGGCTCGTCTGGAGGCCACATTGGGTGTTCGTGAGGCCGCTCGAGCGTGTTAGCGCCCTTTCTGAGCTGTCTTGGAAGGCATCTGCTGCATGCAGGAGGTGACAGAGGCTGGATTTGGGGGCTCCGAGGGCTCCAGAGGTGCGTCGCGGAGTTCTTAGGGCTCCCCCTCTCCTCTCCCCCTTGAACTATGGTTTGGACCGTGGAGGAGGGGATGAGTGGAAATGGGGGAGAGGGGAGAGAGCCAAATGTATCACGCACCCTGTTACAGTGGAGGCCAGTCCACAAGAAACCGTTTTACAAGAAACCCAACCCTGAGACCCCAGGACGTCCATTGTTTGTTGATGGTTTTTGGTGTGGGAACGTCACGCTTTCCATGGCAAAACCATCGAAACCCAAGACACCCAGGGCACCCTGGAGGCAAGCAGAGTGTTGCTTGGCATGGGTCTCCACTGTACCCCGGGCAAGCAGGGTGCGGCGGATCTGCACAAAAGGATTTGCGCTTCGACATCTGGTGGCATCTACAACCATCAACAGCACGGGGCCGACCTTACCTCGATCGCCCCCCGTGCACACAGGACCTCGTATGTATATACATGTGTGTATATATTTACATATATACACACGTATTGCGAAGGCCTTACGGCCGGCACCGCCGACCTTGAAGGGAGACGACGACGACGACGACGACGACGACGACGACATCGGCAGCGGCGACGACGACGCTGACGTGGGCCAGAGTCCTCAGTGATGCTTCTTGGGGTCTCTTCGGAAGGCCCTCGGGGGCCTCTGGGAAGGAATGTTGAGCCTCTTGGGTGTCTCTGGGGGGCCTCTTGGGAGCCTCTTGTGGGCCTTTTCGGGTTTCCTGGCGACCTCTTGTGGGCCTCTCGGGGATGTGCAGATGAAAAGCATACGATTTGCATTGGATCGTGAGGGTTGAAGGCGTGAGAATGCGATGGTAAGAGTAGCCGATGTGCACCGCATGGTATTTGTTGCATCGGATCGTGCGCGCACCAGATTTGTGTGCGCGCGGGACGGGGTTGGGAGTCAATGAGAATAAGGATGCGTGTCAGGGTTTATGACTCAGGGCTTACAGCTCAGGGCGTAGGGCTTAGAGTTTAGGGTTTAGAGCGCAGCCCCCTTGGCATCCCGAGGGCGCCCCCTCCCTCGGGACGCATCCGCAGTCTCCCGAGGGCACCCCGAGGGAGGGGGCGCGCCGTTAAAGCAAGTGACACTAGCGCCCTTGGGCCCTCCCAAGGGGGCTAGTGTCACGTGTTTTACAGCGCGCCCCCACCCGCGGGACGCATCCGCAGTCTCCTGAGGGCACCCCGAGGGAGGGGGCGCGCCGTAAAACACGTGACACTAGCGCCCTTGAGGGCACCCCGAGGGAGGGGGCGCGCCCCCTCCCTCGGGACGCACCCGCAGCCTCCCTCGGGACGCATCCGCAGTCTCCCGAGGGCACCCCGAAGGAGGGGGCGCGCCGTAAAACACGTGACGCTAGCGCCCTTGGGCCCCCCCAAAGGCCCCCTGGCCTCCCTCGGGGTGCCCTCGAGAGGCCAGGGGGGCTGCGATCTAGGGTTTAGGGCCTTGGGCTTAAGCCTTAGAGCTTGGGCCTTCGGATTTAGGGCGTAGGGTCTAAAGGTTTGTGTTCATGTGTTTTGGCTTAGGGCTTTGTGCTTAGGGCTTGTGGCTTACGGCTGAAGGCCTAGGGCCCAGGGCTTAGGTCGTGTGACATACGGTTCAGGGCTTGGGTTGGGTGTAGAGTTGTGATGAGGGGAGCATGCGGCAATTCGTCCCCCACCCCCCCCCGGCGAATTCTTGGGTAGAATCAGATTGAATTGTCTGTACCCACCCACCCTACAGCTGGCGCGCCTCGCAGGGAAACGCGCCCTCTTTTTTCCCAACACCTCTCCTCCCCTCCAACACTTTGTTCCCCAACACCTACCTCCCTACGGCTGCTACTACTACTACTACTACTACTACGACTACTACTATTTCTACTTCTACTTCTACTTCTACTTCTACTACTACTACTACTACTACTACTACTACTACCACTACCACTACCACTACCACTACCACTACCACTACCACTACCTACACTACTACTAACCACTAAGCTACTACTACTACTACTACTACTAAACGACTACTCGTCCCTAGATATTTTTACATACTACTATACGCACTACGCACTATCTACTACTCACTACTATTACTACTACTACTACTACTACTACTACTGCGCCTAAAGACTACGCCTACACTACTACTAATATTACTACTAATACTACTCTACTACATGCTACTACTACTACT